AAAGGAAAAAAAGAGGGCAGAATATTATAATGTAAGCAGGAAGCCCTGAGGGGTGAGGGAGTGTCCCTGAAAGTGAGGAAGGGGTAGTTTTGAGGGAGGGTCACTGAGTCAGAGTTAAAGAACCTGTTGGAGGTTCTGTAAACAGAGAGATCCACAGAATTTCACTAATGGTGGCTTCCCTGAAGAACCCCAAGTGGCCCTGTTGCCTCCTCGTGGGATGTGCACGGGACACCCCTCAGTGCTTTTGCTGCCTGACCCACACAGACACCCGCCAGGCCCTCGATTCTGGCCAGCCACACCTACGGCCTGGGAGGGCAGAGGCTGCGGTTCCTGCACAACGTAATGGCTGCCTGGCAATGGGAACTAAGCAGGGCTTCCCGCGTCCTGGAGAGGCAGGAAGGGGAGGAGGGGGATTCCCTCCCGGGCATCCAGGCTGCAGACCAGGGACCCAAAGGGGGCCAAATGTGTGCAAGAAATCTGGCCATAAAAGAGGAAAGCCCAGCCTGGGCCTAGATGCTCACCTGTCCTCAGCAGCGTCTCCTTCCCGTAGGACAGGAACTTCTCCAGCCACTCAATGCAGATTTGTTCCAGGTAGACCTTCAATCCCTGATTTCGTCCTGAATCAGCATCCCATTTCCTCTTGGTAATCTGGGCCTGGGGCTCAGAAACCACCCAGGTGAGGGTCTCCTTGTCAAACATGATGAAAGTTCTCCCATTGTATCCATAGAGCAAAAACCCTCCTTTGCTCCTGTCTCCCCGGGGCTCACAGCCGTACATACACTGCCAGGTGTGAAGGCCTGAAAGAGAGACAGGAAGATGGTTTGGGGAGTCCTCTGGAGAGACAGAGATCCCCCTCCCTGAAGGGACTTTGATGGAGGAGAGAGGAAGCGAGAAAAGGGATAAAGAATGGTTGGAAAATGAAAGAAATACATTTTTCCCCATGAAGTTCCCCATGTCCCTCTCGGTGAGGCCTTGAAGGCCCCCATCCTGCCCCCAAATTGGGCCTTGAGGGTCTCCAGACCCAGCTGCCCCCCACTTGAAATCCTCCCCGGTTTCCCTCCCACCTCTCCCT